TTTGGGCGTACGCGCTTGTAATTGTATTAATGGTATTCAACCATATGCGTAAGAATATACATATATGCACATACATATGTATATGCAAAAAAAAAAAATTGCCGCTTCGCACATTCTGCTTGGCGTAGCTTCTCCTCCTCAGTGTTGCCGTTTTCACTACGATGGAAGTTTTTCACATCACTTTTATGCCCAACACTTCTGCACTTCCTCGTTGACAAAATCACTTCGATTCTAAGCGACCAGAATTCACAAAAAAAATGTTATGATTTTATTTTTGCATAAGAGTAAGAATTTGTGAAGTGGGCCGCCATTATTTCGAAGGTCGAACTTTTATTATACAATTATCTGTTTATGCTTCACAACGATAAAAGGAAAATACAAGTATCACAATTTTTCCAAATTCTAATTATTTTTCGAAATTGTTTAGATTTTAATTGTTTTCTCGCGATTGGTAATACCGATTCTGCTCATATTTTAAGAAGTTGAGAATTATGGAGTTTTCTTAACATTTTTAATTTTTATTTGGCCATACATTTTTTTTATAAAAGTTATTAAATTTTTTTTTTTTTAATATTACTGACATCTCAAAGGCTTTAAAATCGTGTTTTGGGCTAATATTGTTGTACGTTCTATTAGCAATTATTTGCAGAAAAAAAAAATTTTTGCCGCAATGAATCGAGACGAAAGTTATTCACGCTTTTCTCTTGTTGCCCAATGTATTTTGTATGGAAAACGTTCGCAGAGTTTTTCAACAAGTATCGTTTGATAGCGAGTCTAGCGTGCTTGCGATACTCTTTTCATCGTTTACACTGGTTTACAGCAACAACTTGCAATGGATGCCACTATTCGATTACTACATAGAATTGCTCACCGAAAATCTAGTTAATTTTTTATTCTATGGATAAATTTTCGAGATATTTTCAATTTACCGTTATTCAGCTTAAAATAAAAATTAGTTCAACTTAATCACGTATATCTTACGAATCGATTTAACAATCTTAAAAGGAGATACGGTAAATCAAAGCTAATAAAATTCTCCATAAACCATATATACATCACTTTCCGGTTGGGCTTATAGTTTCTGACAAATTAATTAATCATTCCAGTTTCCTTATTCTTTAATGAAAAAATGAAAAAAAATCAAAGTTTAAAAAAGAAAAATTTAAAAAATAACAGGTTCTGTTCCAAGTTGTTGCATTTGTTCTGTTACAAAAAAAAAAATCAAGTTACTGATGAAGAAAATCGATGGATAAATAAAGAAATAATGAGTGGTCAAATGAAAATACGCAAAGATTTTTTGTATGAAAAATGAGCAGGAAAGAAAGTTACTCATACGCCCCGTACACCTGAGTAAAACGTTTTTTTGTTTTATCGTTTCATTTTAGGAAATTCTTACAAATAAAAGAAGAAAGTAAACACAACAACCATCGAGTAAATTTTTATTTATGTCAAATTGAAATTTTTTTTCCAATAATAAACGATTCGCTATGCTACTTGATCACTATAACCAAATCTTGACAATTATAACTAAACCTTTTCTGGGTGTAGTTGAATATTGTCGCTCTCTGCATATAGAATAATGCCTCATAAAGTGAAGTCTATGAGTTGCAAAATACTACATACTTATATTTTGGACATTATAAAGAAATTGATGGCTTGTAAATACGATTCTAAACTTGTTTGTGCAAATAATCGGACTTTTAGATTACCAGAGCGTACAGCTCTAAGTCACCCACTAGTCACCATTTGTTCAAAAAAATTTCACTTGAATATTAGATTTAACTAAAATCGTCTCTTATCAGTTGCAAGTTTAATTACATTTTATGATAGCAGTCACTAAATATTAACTTAAAAAAAGCGGTTAAAACTTGTATAAGCTTTTTCTCTATAGATGGCTGTATGTATGCGTTTAACTTGTTAACAACTTAAGAAGTATTAAAGGATAAAAGTCATAAATAGATTTAAGAAAATTGCTCATAACTTTATGCAAATTGCAAAAACAAATACGATTATGGGCAAAAAAAGCAAAAATAAATAAGCTTGGACAACGTTTTCACTTTCGCCGTCCATGACAGACTCCTACAAGACGTTCAAAAGTATATGTGAGCATTAGGGTGCATCGCCATCCATGCAAAAAAAAACTTTTATTGTTTTTCCATTGACATTGTAAAACTTACTATATTTTAGGGCAAAAATATTAAAATTTGTATGAGATGGACAGTTTTTAATAAAAAAAAATATGAAAATATTTTCTTTTTGTTTAATAGAAATCTTGAAAATTTTTATCAACGGCATCAAAGCAATGAGATTTTTCGAGATGTTTTAAAATCAGCCCCCTGACGTAAATCTTAATATTTTCGAAAATATTTGGTGAAAGCTTTCAAATTTAACACATTTTATAATTCCGCTGGAAAATCGCCACTTTTTTTTTGATGTTGCACCCTAGTGTACATATGTATATTGTACATAGTGCGACCTAGATACATACATACATACTCAAACAAACATACATATGCACATAATAATTTTCTCAATTCGTCTGCTGCAAAGCACCCTTCGGTTGCGGTTTTGCATAGCTAAATTTAGCTATTTTGCCAAGTTTAAACCAACTTTGTCCCGAAGTTTGCATTTCGTACTGTTCCAGTCTGAGTTGGCTTCTATGTACAAACATACATACATACATATGAAAATAGTGCTTTGCTCTGAACTTTCTTAATTTCACTATGTTTGTTTATTGTTGCTGAAGCTGCTTCTGCTTGGTATTGCTATTGCGGTTACTGTCTTGCCGGAGATATGAAATTATTTGATTGAGGTAGTTATGGGTTAGGTTTGCGGTAAGCCGCACCATTTTTTGGCAAAGGCGAGTCATAGTTTTCATTTATATTTAGTAATATGATTATTAGTTCTGTGTGCACGTACTTCCAGATCTGTAAATTTCGTACAAGTTTGTGTTTATTTATATGACATTTTGGTCACCGGAAATTTTGTTTTATCGCTGTTGTTATTATTGATGCTGCTGTTTAACGCGTTTTATTGCCGGGTAGTTTTAAGCTGTCAACGGTGTTTTGTATGAACGCCAATTGAGCTTGAAGGACGCTTCAATGCTCAGGTAAATGGAAAGACAACTGTATTCATTTATATTCCAACTCTTTTTTTTTGGTTTTGAGCCATCAGCTTACACTCTTATGTCAAACATGATTCCGATGTGCTCGTATTTGCTCTTTAATAAGAATAAATGGTAGTGTAACCACATCGAGTTGCTTTACAGCTTCTCAGATCTGCACTTTTTGTAATTTCATGATGTTTGATTCATTCACCAAATTAAGACAAAATTTTGTAGTTTTGTAAAATGTTAAATTGTTTGGTAGGTACAGGAGTAGGTATTGAAAGCGTTCTGCGAAATAATTATTTGACACCCATACTATTATTTTATAATACACTGAATATTTTAAAATCAGCTTTAGAATAATAGCTCATTACCACCAAAGGCTTAACTGCAGTTAAGAGCTACAAATAAGTTCTTGTAATTTCTTTTTTCCAATAAGCATAAACTGCAGATAAGGCTTGGTGGAAATGAACTATTTATCACATCCACGAAATTTCCAAGAATTCAAAAAAAATAAAAAATGATGTCAGAGATACGTTCGTAGTGAAAAAATTTTATTTATTGCAAATTATCGAAAAATTGCTACAAATGTAGATTGCCGAGCTCAGCAAAGTTAAAAAAAATTGGTTCTTGTAATCTTGGTGGGCGTGGTAGTAAACCGTTCTACACAATTTTTCAGGTTTCTTTATTCATCGGCAAAAATACCACAGAGTGCAAATTACAGGAAAATCCGAGCACAATTCGTACTTTTTGTCATATTTGTTTATATGGATCTTCAACTTTGCGTCGTTACCAATATACCTAGATGTAGTGGTAAACATTTTTGATAATAAAATTTGCCGGTAACTAAATATCTGGTAACGTGTAGAATGGATGATCTGTAGAAGCTTGCCGCTTATTGATAGTACAAGATCATCCAAATGCGTGATAATCCTATGGCGCCTTTCCATGTCGCACACTAGCGTGATTACCGCTGCGACCTATAGGGAAGATAGAATAGGAACACCCCTTAGTCAATGAAACATCCGCAACTGCTGCATCGCACTACCTTAAACCTAAACTCGACATGGGTCATGGTCATCCTATAGCGATTTTGTGGTCCACATCAATGGAACCTCTAGTAGCTTCAGGGCTAGACACCTCTTTACCCCCTTAACATTTGAATTCAGATGCAAGAAAGGAATAGCACCCAATTTTTTATAAATATAAGGCTACTAATTTTGTTAAATAATATCAAAGAATACATTCTAATAATTTATATATATGTTTTTAGTATTGTAGTACAATAAGTATGTGTCTTTTAATAATTGTACCCAACCCTTTTTATATTTCGGAAAAGTTTTTAAACTTTCGATTAAATTTATGACTACGCACTTATATTTATTACACATTTTTAGTTAGCTAAAAACTTTATGGATATTTTTCTGGAGTTTTTGATATTTCTTGGTTTGTTGTTATCCCAGAAAAATTAGCGATATGCATAAATAGTATATATATATAGTACATATTCTAATACTTATACGCATATACTAACTACCTATTTAACTACTACTTCGGTTTATATCTTACTCCATATATGTATGTATTTAAATATGTATATGCAATGACATGATACATTTAATCTAATGCGAGTATGGACTTAGAATTTATAGAATTTATGGAATTTATAGAATTTAATACTACAACACTTTACATTACTCTCTACATTGATGCTGAGGATCGGGTCGCAAACGAACACACAAACTAATCGGCAAGCCAGACAATCCACAAAAACTTAAGCAGAAATAAACAAAGACAAGGCAATTTTTTTCTTTTTTTTTTTGACAAGCATTAGTAAGCTGCTGGTTATTATAGCAAAGTGTTAGCAAAACAATATATACTGTACCGCACGAACCTCCCTGGGGGAAAAATTGCGAGTAGATAACTTTGAATGTGTCCTCTTTGACGACGCCCGTCGGACACTCAGCCTTAAAACCGCGATAAATTCGTTTGATTTCATCCTCTGTGAAACGTGTGGTACGACTGAGGGCACTTAAGGAGTCGGGTCGATAACGTGCGGGCGTCTCAAATTCTTCCAATTCGGAATCTGCAGAGGAAAAAAAAGAACGCAAAAAAATAGAGATAAGTGTAAGAAAATGGTACAAATATATGTATGTACATAGCAAACAAAATAAGAATTCAACTAAATACATATGTAGGTAATATTAGGGTGGTTCTTAAAAGTATCTGCGAGAATTCGAAAATTAAAAAAACAAAATTAAAAATTAGTGGTCGCTACCAGGATTTGAAAAAATTTAAATTCTTTTTAACATCTCTGCGAGTTTATAAAATTTTCAGGATTTGAAAAAATTTACATTTTTTTGAACATCTCTGCGAGTTATGAATTTGTATCCACGCTGGTGGTTATAGGTGGTCAAACTAAAATGTAAATCAGTTCTAACCCTGGTAGCAACCCCTAATTTATTTTTTAAAATTTGAAATATTCGTGGATATCTTTATTTTGAACGTATTTATATTTTTGATATTTACATACGTACGCCATTCTAATGTTTAACCATCAGCTCTCAGTTATTATCACCTTAACGTACCACGCTAATGCGAGTAAATTCAAGCGAAAATATATATATTTTTCGAAATTTGTTGGCAAAAATACTTTAGAATCAGGGGTGTTTTTTTGTTTGCTTGTAAGGTGGTACAGTCTAATGTGCACATGCATGCAAGTCTATTATGATGGCAAAAAAAATGTTTAATGTTAAACTCTCACCCCTAAGATTTTCCTAAATCAAAAAAGAATACCCATATTTTTTGGTAATAAAAGGATATTTAGAACCGTGGAAAAACACCTTTTCGTAGAAATGGTATAGCATTATTGAAAATCAATATTTTTTTGATCGGAAAACTCATTATCTCTTCAAGAGACTTGGAAATAATAATACCCAATTGTTTATTTTACCATTTTTTAATACTTATGATTTTTTTATGGGTCCCCCATTGGGTTTTAATAGGGTTAAATAAATAAATGGGTATTATTATTGGAAGTCCACTAAAGAGAAAGACAGATTTCCGAATGAAAAATATTGATTTTCAATAATTTTTACCCTTTCTACGAAAAATTGTCTTTTTTTTCCAATATGGGCTTTGCGGCAGTTGTAAATATAATTTTTTTTAACAAAAAATACGGGTATTATTTTCTTCCATTTAGAAAAATCCTAGGAAGTGAGAGCTTAACACGCGGGAGATCGCATGTTTTTTTGGACCACCTTAATGCATATATATATACATACTCAAGTACAGTTCAGTATAAAACTAATGTGAAATTGTGTGATTTTCTCTTTCTGAGCTTTTAAATTCTAAGTAGAAACGCGTAAGCGCGTGTGATTTGAAGTGGTTTAAGGGATTCACCGAAAAAAAGCGCACATGAAGCTTTGAATGAATGAATTTTTTAACTTGTTAAACTTTTCTACTGAATTAGATTTTTTTCTTTTTAGAACGCTTTCAATGTGGGCACACAAATACAATATTTGCAAAGTGTTTGTCACGTCAGTGCCTCTCAAAGGCTTACTTACACACATATGTATGTACATATGTACATTTGCACACATATGCATAAGTATGTATGAACATTATCAATTGGTAGATAAGAAATTCACTTGTCTTTATATGATGGTGTTGGAGCAAATCTTGTTCTGGCAAGTCATTGAAGCAAACTGGTAGCGAACCACTAAATGCGTGTGTAAGTTTTTTCGTTTATCAAATTTCTCCACCTTTTTTTTTATGTAACTATTTTTACACAATACTCAATATTTCTTTCTATTTCTTATTTATTCTATGCGCCATTTTGATTCTTATGTCCCTGAGGGTATATGAAATAATGCCACAGCTGTCATGTTTGTCCTTTATTTTCTTTTCTCTCCCCTACAATATTTACGCTCCACTGCTTCTTTTGTACTACGACATAGTAGTTATTATACTTTTACCTTTTTGCAGTCTTCGAGTTTGCGCGTTCATGAAAAAGTGTGTACTGTTTGGTTGAAGTACGGTGCAGATGCCTAATGGCAGCCGTGAAGCATCGTTGTGATTTTTCTTAAGAAAAAGCCTTTGAGTGCCCTTTGGTAGTTAAGTAAGTAAATAGCGGTTGTCTAAGTCTCAGTATTCTCTTTACAGTGTAGGAGGTAACCAGCATGAATATTTCAAATGTACGTCTTTAATTTATTCCATTCGTTTATTTATTTGGCCTTCCTAAAGCATATTCATGTCATATTCAGAAACTAGTTATGCACAAAGCTAGGTACAGTCAAATTACGATAAACTGACGATCTTTTGTATAGTGGTCAATTCCTATTGAATACTGTGAGGCTAGTCGCAGAGTATATAAAAATCGGCACCGTCTTAAAAATGAGGGTGTTAATTTTTTTTCCAGATCATGCTACGACAATCACTATACAATGCCTTTGCACAGCTTAGTTCATAGTTACTCTGGACTTCTATTTATCTTAGAGATCGGGAGTCTTAGTGAGTGTTTTACCCCTGAACTACGCTACCCAAACCTTGTGGCAGACACTTTCCTCGAGCAATTGTCTGCTTTCCTCATTTCCGATAATACGCAAATTGTGATGCAAGTATTTGCGACAGTCATCGCCGACCAAAGGGTCTTGAAGACAGCCTGACTGACTGTCTATTTCCTCTATTGTTAGCTTCGAAACCGTGATGCATTGTATTTTCTGTACTATCCTCATCCTCCAAACAAGATGATGCCTATGGTGACCATATGTCGTCCTCATGGATTGTGCCCCGTAATCAATCTTACTTGTTAACGTTTTAAAACAATAAAATCTAAAAAGTTTAGGAGAATTAAATTTAAAAAAAAAACCTTCCTTTTAAAACAATAACACGGGAAAATTTAATTAAAAAAAACAAAAAGAAAATTTAATAGAAAAACATTAATAAGTTCCTAAAAACTGCATAAATAAAATTAAAAAAACAAAAACACTATTCTTTTTAAACCAAATAAAACAAAATTAAATTAAACAAGTAAGGTCCTAAAAATCCAATGACAATAACAAAAATTATTATTAAAAAAGAAAAAGTGTGTTAAAATAAAAGTAAAAAATACTAAAAATTTAATAAAAAAAATAATTTTACTTTTTGCAACATTAAACTATAAAATAAGAGAAAATTAAAAAAACGATAAAAAATTAAAAAATATAGTTTAACAAATGTGTCAAAGAAAGTTAAATTAAAAAAAAGAAAAAAAAAATTAAATAAAAAAAAGAATAAAAAATCCGCTCCCCGGGGGCTCGAACCCGTATCTCTCGAATGGCACACTAATTCTTTGCACACTCGGCTATTGTGACTTTCGTGCGAGAATATCAAACGTCTTTCGAACTATTAAGCCATCTGTCTTTTATTTATCTCACGAAAGACCTTTTACTACACTGAGAAAAGTTAGTGAGTTTAGTTACGGCAACTAAATATGTTTTTCTCAACATAGGATTTGGAATCATGTTTTGAGAAAAATATTTTTACCTGACTTTTTTCTGCGTGTATATATTTATATATATTTTATATATAAATAATGTAACTATAGCAAAATCATAAGTTGAGAGAAACATATTTAGTTGATACAACTAAATTAATTTCTCAGTGTACGCTTATTTAGTGTATGTATACATTACCATTATTTTGCAACAATATGGATGCACTGTGTTCGTGGAGGTTACGTCCGCTAGTAGTAGAACGTATGTAGGTATGTATGTATGTAGGTTCATTTTCGCAGACAAATACAAAAAAAAAATCATTTCTCCTCTAAAACTATGAGCTTCTTGTTTACAATCCTTTCAAAATTAGGTGCTACAAAATTAATTTAAAGTTCATGAGCCTATTCTTTCAATGGAGCGCTCTATTATGAGCCAAACAAACGCAGGCATGAACATAATGCATACGCTCTACTATTACTACTAAAATTTTTAGTTTGTGTTCAGGGCTTTGCTATATATATATGCACATTGTGCATACCATATACATACATATTTATGCTTGTATATTTACAACTGCAGTTAATTAAAACTTTTTTTCGCGCGTAATATCTTTTTATTGAAGGGTTTCTTTATGTTTCTCTTCTTTTCATTTGGCATAAAATAGTTATTTTTTTGTGGTACATCCGCTGGGGGAAGCACTTCAACCGAAGGATATGCAATTGTCAATAAGCCAAGATGAGGTCAAGTACACCAAGATAAAGACAGCAGAAAAAAAAAGTGTAAGATATTTGGAAAAAGTAAGCAAGTCTTTGAACTCACTTAAACCATACACTTACACTTCTCTCAGCGCAAAAGTGTGCGAACTAGTACTTTACAAGTGTTTTGTATAAACTGTGAAGCAAAGCAAAATTTCGGTTTGAGCAAAACTAATTAATTTAAAATTTGATACATCAAAAATGTCTGTATTTTCTATTCTCTTTGCTCAACGGCAAGTTCAAGTATACACAAATAATAAAGTGAATCCAATTATCCGCAGTGGCTTTGCTGACCTACAAAATTTTTACAAATCGTTGCATACAGGAAGGCGCATAAAGCAGCATACAAGCTGCTATATAGCGCTACTCCTATGCATGCGTTGAGTGCTATTCCCCCCTGAAAGTAGTACTATGTACTATATTCATTTTATATGCGACTAATAAATAAATAAAAAGCACTCACACACGGCACAAAAAATGTTAAAAATAGCAAATAGCAAGCATTGAGTATATAAAATAAGCGCACAGCAATAAGGTATAAGGTAATATACGGTTATATTTTATACGTCTACTCGTATTTGCATAATAATGGCGAATAAAGTGCCATAAAAAAATAAAGTTAAAAAATAAAGCCAGCGTTTTTTTTTTTTTGCTTGTGAGCCCCAAAGTTCAAAGTGAATGCGAAAAAAAGTGTAGTGAGTGGCTGAAAGGAGATTTAATATGAAAAGATGAAAAATATTTTTGGATGCGATAGTTTTTCTTCACTTTTTTTTGTTTATATCATGTTCCATCAGCAGGAGGAGTTGCGTGCACAAAGCGCAACGGCGCGCGCTAGCTAGAAAAAGCTGTATTAT